CAGGGGTGGGAGTAGAGGGGTGAGGATGGGATGGGCAGGGGCAAAATCACAGGGTTGTACAATTTGATGGGTGGAGGGAAGTGGCAAAGGAAATGAGAAAGAGCCATCAGGGACAGTCTACGGTGGGCACAGTCTAATGATGATGAATTTTGTAAAACATATGTATGGGAATGATTGTATGAAATACAATGTGAATGAAGAATAGAGTGAAACACATGGGACAGTCTATGATGGGCACAGTCCAATGATGATGAATTTTGTAAAACATATGTATGGGAATGATTGTATGAAATACAATGTGAATGAAGAATAGAGTGAAACACATGGGACAGTCTATGATGGGCACAGTCCAATGATGATGAATTTTGTAAAACATATGTATGGGAATGATTGTATGAAATACAATGTGAATGAAGAATAGTGTGAAACACATGTATATGAACTTTGTAAGCAAATCAACATAAAACAAAAGTTAAAAATACTCTGTACATTTCAAGCCTGTGAAGCAAGCAAAAAAGGGATGATTATGCCTATGTAACAATGGAGGAAACAGGCATGGAAAGATGAGGGGGTTGGTTCAAAGTTACATGACAAAGTATGAAGAGTTTGAGTTTAGTCTTGAAAATGGGTTTCCTAGCCACTGTGACTTTGCCATGTGGATGAGCAGGAATATGTGAATAGAACTCTTAGTCTATCCACATGGGGACTAAGCTAATCTCGCCATCTAACTGAGCAGATACATCAGCAAGAGAATATAACACATCCTTCAAGAGCAGAGATTCTTGCTCCAGACAAGCTAGGGCCTAGGGGAGCAACAGTCACAGCAGCCACAGCAGAGAACAGAGACCTTACCTAAGGCAGAGGACTTTGGGACTGCCATGCCAGTGAAACAAACCCAAAAGTCTTTGCCTGAGTCACTGGACGACCACTGAGGGAGAGCCATTATTGGCAGGGCTGAGAACCCTGTACATCAGCCTAAAGCCAAAAGGTTCAAAGAAGAGGCATCTGTAAGCACATTCTGGAAGCTGTCCTGACTATATGCTGCTACTCACCTGAATTATAGCCTTCTGATGCTCTAAACATGGCTGTGTGATCTGTGAGCTATCACATCAGATTCTGGACCCAGTAAAGCAATAAGATGGTGAGAGCAAAGAGGTGCAGGAGCATGGGGGATGCATCTGGGACATCATGGGAATTGCTTGGTACTGCTGATATTGACAGGGACATTTCCCCTTCCTGAAGTTGGAAAAGGTCAGATATGGCTGCACTCACGTGGTCCTTGCTCTTTTGGACAGTAAGCAATTTTAAAGGTACAATTTAAGCCTATTGATCTTCCAACTTTCTATCTTCTGACTGTTCAAAATGCTAGGGATTTTTTTTGTTAAAGAACTTTGTTCTAAAAGGCTTGTTTGATTATTCAATAAATGTGCTAAGTACTGCTATGTACTGTTTTTTTTAGGCAGCACAAGAGGCGTAAACTGCAGAGCTGCACTGGTAATCTAAAGGCTGTGTTTCTTGGGTAATTCAAACCCACCAGCCCCTCCAGAGAAGTGAGAGAAACTTGCACTGCTGACCCAGAGGTGGCTCTCTGTGAGGTTCAGATCCACCAGCTGCTTTGAGGGAGAAAGATAAGACAATCTCCTCCCATGCTATTTACAGACTCAGAAAACCCACTGAAGGGTAGGTAAGCTGTGAGTCAGATCTGACTAGAGAACAGTGAGTCTGAAATCCTCATCTGTAAGATGAGTGTTAATAATAGCCCACTGCTAAAATCCACAAGATTTTAAATGCTTGTTTTGCAAACACTTAAAAACATTAGCAGTAACAGTGCAACAGTGAATGAATGAGAACCCAAAATCTCTGTAAATGTTCATTAAAATGAATAAAATTTAATAACAATTTTAAAAAAAGGATGACATAAGGAAAAAAAAACATTAGCAGTTAGTACCATCACAACTAGAATTCCTAAATATTTTAAATGGAGACTCAATTTTTGAAATACAAAACTTCAGTCACATGCACATTCAAAAACTTCTCCACCAGGATAAAAAGGGAAGCCACAGTCTGGGAAAAAGTATTTGGTAATGACTGTCAGATAAGGGACTTAGATCTAGAATTTATAAAAGACTCAAGCACTACAACAAGATAAACAATCCAATTGAAACATGGGCACAGGATATGAACAGACACTTCACGATAGAAGATATTCAGATGGCTAGCAAGCACATGAAGCAATATTCAAAATCCCTAACTCTAAGAGATGCAAATCAAAACAACTATGAGATATCACCTCACGCCAGTCAGAATAGCAAAATTTAACAAAACAGCAAGCAACAAATGCTGGCAAGGTTGTGGAGAAACTGGAACCCTTATTTAATGTTGGTGGAAGTGTAAAATGGTGCAACCACTGTGGAAGACAGTGTGGCGTTTCCTCAAAATGTTGCAAATAGAGATACCATTTGACCCAGCAATTCCATTACCGGGAATATACCCCAAAGAGATATATGCCACCCAAGCAGATATATACACTCATGTTTACCGTAGCTTTGTTCACAATAGCAAGGAGTTGGAAACAACCTAAGTGCCCATCAACAAATGAATGGATAGAGAAGCTGTGGTATATTCACATAATGGAATACTACGCTGCATTGAAAAACAAGGAACTCATGCAATATCATTCAAAATGGGTGACCCTGGAGGACATTATGCTGAGTGAAGTATTTCAGTCACAAAAGGACAAATACTGCATGGTACCACTGTTGTAAAACAGGACTGACATTGAGGTTGGGGGAAGACTGAGAAAGATGGGATAAATAATGTATACTGCATTGAAACAGATGAGGGAGAAACTGTTTAAAAGGGACATGTGATTAGGTATTATTGTCATGACTGGAGTCCAGAATGAAGGCTGCATAGTTGAGTGGACCTGGGGTGGAAGGACTGTAAAACAATGGGGGAACTTTTACTTTTCAAAGAGAAGAGTGTAGGGAAGGGTGGGGGGCGGGGAGGGAGAAAAGTACAACAATGAATGAATGGAAATCCAAAGTCTCTGTAAATTTTCATTAAAATTCATTTAAAAAATGATTAAAAAAAAGTAAAGTTGCAATCTCAAATAATCTCCTGAAAAGAGGAAAGATAATATAGCAGCTATACAGTAAACTCAAGAAATCAAGGAATTAATAATACAATCATCAATGTAAACAGAAAAAAAGTTCCGCATTTTTACATAGATAATGTATTTTTGCCACCTGGGCAACTTTCTCACACATTATTTTCTTAGGCACACTATGCACATCACATATGTGTATTGTTTGTGGGAAATAGAAAAGGTAGTGGTGATAAAACAAATCAGAAAATCAGCAACTAGAGAAACAGAATAAAGAAATCTGTACATACGTGTCAAAAGAAAAAAAGTCAATAAGAAAACTCTTTTCCAAGATTCCAAAACCCAGAGCTATATAAAATTTGCAATTTTGTTCATAAATATAATTTCTTTTGGTGTTAAAATAACTGGATTGATGGGGAAATATTTCAAATACACCACATCTCAACATAAAAAAAACAAAATCCTCAGAACTGACTCCATCAATAAACAACATTTTGATAAATGTTAATAAATGCTGATAAATGTTAGATAAAAGCCCTGGAGGATTTTATGCTGAGCGAAATATCTCAGTCACAAAAGGACAAATACATAGTGCCACTGTTGTAAAATGGGACTGACCTTGGGGTTGGGGGGGGATTGAGAAAGAAGGGATAAATTATGTATACTGCGTTGAAACAGACGAGGGAGAGAACTGTTTAAAAGGGATATATGATTAGGTATTATTGTCATGACATGGACTTGGAGGGATTATATAACAATAAAAGATTTTTTCTTTTACTTTTCAAAGATAAGAACAAACTGGGGGGAGGAGTAGGCAGGGAGTAAAGTATAACAATGAATGAATGGATGAAATCCAAAGTCTCTGTAAATGTTCATTAAAATTAATAATTAAAAGGAAAAAACTTGTAGTCACAATTCCTTCCTCTTTCACCTATGAGCTTAGCACCTGGCCATTTTCTTCTATATTATTCTGATGTTGTTATGTGCTGTCAAGTTGCTTGTGACTCATAGCAACCCCATGGACAATTCTGATCCCTGCTCTATTCTGAGCCAAGCTCATTGTCTTTATCACATCTCCCCCCATTACCCCAGTCACTAAGTCAATCCATGTCATCAAGGGTCTTCCTCTCCTACACTGTCTCCCCACCCTCCCAAGAATGATATCCGTCTCCAAGGACTGGTCTCTCTTTGCAACATGTCCAAAGTATGTCAGATAAAGCTTCAGAATCCTTGACTCCAAAGAGCAGCCGGATATAACCCTCTCTAGGATGAACCTGTTTGTTCTCCTAGCAGTCCATGGGATGATCAATACTCTTTTCCAGTACCACAGTTCAAAGGCATCCTATCCCTAGTCATTGTTCAGCTCTCTGATGGATAGCATGAAAGAAGTATGGGTATCTTATCCAGGCAAACAGGGCAATGTTCTCCTAAAGGGTAAGAGCAAGGTCTAATACTTATCGAGTAGTCATATATTTAGTGGGTATGTCATTTAGAATGCTTTTATTTTTTTAACATTATATACATTTATAAGTACACACATAATGTATTTTATGTACATGGATTAGGTAAATATTGAAGAATCTTAAACCAGTTTTCTACAAGAGTCAAGCACAGAAAGAAAAAAAAAACAAAAAGAGAGATCAAAGCATGTGGATACACAGATTTGATTCTGGGCTCAGTGAGTTTTCTCGCCCTCTCCTACTCCTACTTCCTTCAGTAATCATTATAGGGCAGATAAATTCCATCACAAACAGTGAATCAGTGCAACAGAGAGAAGTGAAGAGAAACACACAGGTACATTAGAGTCAACTACAAGCCCTCAGATCTTCCTCCGTCCAGAGCCAAGTGTCCAGGTTACCCTGAAAGCGACTGGCAGCTAGCTTCTGCAGGAAGCTCAATCCCCTTGCTTCACAAGAACATCAGCGAGATCCTTGGTTCCTTCCAGCTTCAGATTCTGGGAAGATCAAAACAGGTACGAGCTATGATCCATTGATAGAACAAGAATCACAGACTAACTTCTAATCAAGGTCAGAAGGTTCAAAAAATGAGGTTTGTACCATAACAAACTACATCAGGAAATACAATTTCTAGGATAAAGTAGATTTCAAATCCTATATAATTAATTACAGGGGGGCAGAAAAAAAAAAACAAGCTTCCTCTGGTTCATACAATAATTTCAGTTTACAGGCTAAGAAGGAAGGTATTTGCCTTGAAGGAGCTATGGGAGACAGATGGGTTGTGACTGCTTGTCTACGTTAACAGGTCTGAAATTTCCCCAGTGGGAAAACACCGGGTCTAACACTTCTCTAGCACATAGTATATACAGCCTGAACCAAGATCTCAAGTTCACAGACCCTCATGCAGCAGCTGGCATCCAAGTCCCTCATCCTCACCACACTGACACCTTTAGGATGGCCCTAGTACCATATTCCATCCCCCTCTTGTTTTGGGCTTTTCCTCACCTCCCAACTCTTCCTCACCTCACATACACTTATACTCTCAACTCATGAGGCGTTCTCTTCATCAATCTCAGGGGCTGTTTCCCTCAGGATTAAGAAATTCTAAGCCTTTTTTGCCAATATACCACTATCAAGCTCCCTCTTGCTTTCCACCAGAGGCAGGTATGATGAGTTTATATTTTATAAACATTTCATTTCTTTCTAGCACATTTTCCTTTACTGCTGTAACTTTTCTATTTGAGCTAACTTCTTATTTTCATTGTGAATCAAAGGCAAGGATTCTGAAGCTTCGTCTCACATACTTTGGACATGTTGCAAGGAGGGACCAGACCTTGGAAAGGAATTATCATGCTTGGAAGGGTGGAGGGACAGCACAAGAGAGGAAGACCTTCGATGAGAGAGATTGATTCAATGACTGGGCTAATGGGGATAGGTGTGTCAAAGATGTAAGACTGGCACAGCATAGAGTAGGGTCCAGGACTGTTGTTCACAGAGTTGCTATGAGTCTCAAGCGGCTCAATGGCACATAACAACAATCACCTAGTTGATACTTTTTTGTTGTTATTGCTGAGTATCATCGAGTCAGAACCAACCCCTAGCTGACCCTCCAGTGGGTTTTCAGAGGCAGTAAACTGTGCCAGAGGAGACTGCCCATCCTTCTCCCATGGAGCAACTGGTGATTTCAAACAGCATGCATTTGGGATTGCAGTACAGCTTCTTACCACTAGGCCACCAAAACTCCTTAGTGGATCCTTTGTTGTTGATTGCCTTCAAGTCAAGCATGACTCATAGCGACCCAATGAACAAAAGGCCTGAAGCCCCTCTAAAACTATCAACATTTCTCAAAGTTCATAGAGTTTCCAGAAACATGTTATTTAGGAAGTGGTTACTATTCCTGCTTCGATCCTTTAGGACTGCATAAATCTCCACATTGAAGACACCCTCTGAGGTAGCCAAGGTAGAAGCTACTGAAAAGTTCAGACAGTTGACACAGACAGGCAATGTTTCCAGGTTACCAGACTTACCCACCTTTTCATTGGCTAAGTGTAGAAGACAGGCAAAAGCCAATGGTATGGAAAGGTTCTGAGCCATGAGGGAAGGCAGGCTGTAAAGCAAAGGGGCAAGCATTATACTCAATCATGGCCATTCTCAGAGCTAAAGCTCTGAGTAACACACGTGTATAATCAGTAAACCGGTGTGTGACATTTTTCAGGTGCATTTTTTTAAGCGTTTTTTTCCAGTTTCTTATTTGGAGTTAAAAAAAAACAACACCAAAAAAACCTCATTCCATTGTAGAAAAAATGTCTTTTAAAAGTAACCCAAGTTGGTCCTACATCAGTATTAAAAAACATTAGTTTACGGGTGTAAACACAGGTAGACAGACAAGATGGACAGACACAGGCAAGCCCCTACACCATAAGAGTGTGGAAGACAACAGCTTGCTCAATATGAGCCCAACTAAGTGCTGTAAATGTCTGCATAAAGATAGTAGAACCAGCAGGGGGCAACAGTACACAAACCTCTTAACCATAACAAAAATCCTGCTGGAATGAGTTACTGGCTCTGGTCCTTGGGACCACAGACTGAGACAGAATAAAGTCAGCTGTCCTTGTCCACAAGGACAATATTCTACACTCTACAGTGGGACTTAAAAGCTTGTGAGGAGCCACCTACGGTGCAACCACTTGTCTCTGTATGTGGAGCAAAGAATAAAGAAAATCAACCAAATGAAAAAGATTAGTCTACAGCACCAATAAACCGCTCAATCCTCAACTTCCACAGTAAGCGGCTGTGGATAGAGTGAGAGATAAAGATAGAACAACATTTGGAATTATGGTACTGGCCAGGCTCACCTACCTGACAGACTTTTTGAACCCCTGAGTCTCTGGCCTTTAGTCACTCTTTTGGGCCTGGCTCAAAACTCACGCCTATAGCACAATTTTTCAGTCGCACAATAGACAGATCTATAACGTGAACAGTAACACTAGGGAGATATGAAGCATTTAGAACACTCAGCCACACCGGATGACAAGGGCAGCAAACTGTCCAAGGAAACAGCTCAGAAAAAAGGAAGTAGAGGATGAAGGGATGAAAAGAAACAAGAATCACGGGAGTGAGAAGTGTGATGACCCAGTGTAGGGACTGTAGTCAATGCAAAACATATGTGAATGGTTGAATGGAAATGGAGTAACAATCTACTCTAAGCTTTAACCCAAATAATAAAAAAAAAAGTTAAAACCAAACTCAGGTTGGCCAATAGTAACTTATTTAACAATGTAGAAAAGGAACAGAAAAATTGACAGCGTTACTTAAAACTGACTACACCACCACCAAGGAAGAGGAAGCAGCATGCATCCTTAGGGGCCAGAGAATCCTGCACCAGCAGCTCAGCAGAAAACCAGAGACCAGAACGAGGCAGAGGTGACCCAGGACTGCTGCCCCATGGGACCAAAGCCAGGTCTGAGGGAAGACGCCATAATGGGGAAGACTAAGGGAACTCTGTGAGGCGGACCTAATCTGTGAGGCTGAAAGTCAGAGGGCCTGTGACCACACCTGAGAAGCTGTCTGGACCAAGGGATTGTATCCTGCTGAATTAGAGCCTACTAGCTTCCCTAGCAAACCCTGTAACTTTGGAAAAGCCACACAATGAACCTGACAAAAAAGAAAGTGAGATGGAAGGGGGCTGGAGCACTCTTAGCCAGTGTGCAGGTTCAAGACACAGTAAGTGGCGAGCTCTGGTGGCCTAGTGGCAGGAAACTGCATTGCAATCCCAGAGGTGTGCGGTTCAAATACACCAGATGCTCTGCTGAAGAAGGAGGAACAATCGCCTCCTGTACCAGTCAGATCCAATTTGACGGTACACACATAAAAAGAATGAATGAATAAATAAATGAATGAATAAATAAATAAATAAATAAATAAAAATTATCTTTTTTTTTTAAAAAAAGGACACAGTAAGCCCCTAGCATGGCCAAGACATACCTCTTCTTCAGTTCCCTTGTGACGTCACTGAACAGCTTCTCATCCGCCACCTCTACTGCATCCTCTTTCTCTGTTTCACTATGGTTTGCCTATAAAAGGAGAGTTCAATTCATTTTCAATTCATTTTTGAGATAGTCATATATTCAGGCAGCTGTATCTCCAAAAAGAAAAAGTCCATATCTGAATGAAAGCACGATATTTTTTAGCTTAAGGCCTGGACTGTGACACTGAAATTTCTTTTTAGGGTAAATATGAATGTCAAGGACAAAAAAAATCCTGACTGAAGTGGAAACAGACCTGAGCTTTGAGTACTTAAAGAATGTAACAAAATAACAAAAAACCATGACTATTTATATACCTCAAATAGACTCCACAGCAAGGGCAGCACTGAGTGCTGTTGAAGTAAGATTTGAGCTCTCCACTTAAAACAAGTTGCTACATGTTTGTTAGTAGACAAGCATTTATGAAAGACTTACATTAAAATAACTCAGAGTACATATACAGGGAGGCAAAGGTGACAGCTAATTACCAGAAAAGGGATTACCCTCTCCCACTTTTTATAATGCATAACTTCCTTACATTTGCATCCTACTTCATTTTAGTTGATAAAAACTCTATGAATGTAAAACAACTATGAGATATCATCTCACCCCAGTCAGAATTGAAAAATTAAACAGAACAGCAAGCAACAAATGCTGGTGAGGATGTGGAGAAACTGGAACTCTTATTCACTGTTGGTGGGAATGTAAGATGGTGCAACCATTGTGGAAGGCGGTGTGGCACTTTCTCAAAAAATTGCAAACAGAGATACCATTTGACCCAGCAATCCCATTACTGGGAATACACCCCAGAGAGACCATGTCTGCCATCCAAGCGGATATATGCACACCCATGTTTATCGCAGCTTTGTTTACAATAGCAAAGAGTTGGAAGCAACCTAAGGGCCCATCAACAAACGAATGGATAGAGAAGCTGTGGTATATTCACACAATGGAATACTACGCTGCATTGCGAAACAAGGAACCCAT